TGGTGTTCTTGGGGTCATAGGCAGCATTCCTCCTCCTCCAAACACGGCGAGTTAAGTTGATGCCAAAGAGCTCGATTTTGGTCTCATCTGACCACAATACTTTCACCCAGTTCTCCTCTGAATCATTTAGATGTTCATTGGCAAACTTCAGACGGGCCTGTATATGTGCTTTCTTGAGCATGGGGACCTTGCGGGCGCTGCAGGATTTCAGTCCTTCACGGCGTAGTGTGTTACCAATTGTTTTCTTGGTTACTATGGTCCCAGCTGCCTTGAGATCATTGACAAGATCCTCCCGTGTAGTTCTGGGCTGATTCCTCACCGTTCTCATGATCATTGCAACTCCACGAGGTGAGATTGACAGTTATTTTGTGTTTCTTCCATTTGCGAATAATCGCACCAATTGTTGTCACCTTCTCACCAAGCTGCTTGGCGATGGTCTTGTAGCCCATTCCAGCCTTGTGTAGGTCTACAATCTTGTCCCTGACATCCTTGGAGAGCTCTTTGGTCTTGGCCATGGTGGAGAGTTTGGAATCTGATTGATTGACTGCTTCTGTGGACAGGTGTCTTTTATACAGGTAAAAAACTGAGATTAGGAGCACTCCCTTTAAGAGTGTGCTCCTAATCTCAGCTCGTTACCTGTATAAAAGACACCTGGGAGCCAGAAATCTTTCTGATTTGAGAGGGGGTCAAATACTTATTTCCCTCATTAAAATGCAAATCAATTTATAACATTTTTGACATGCATTTTTCTGGATTTTTGTTGTTGTTATTCTGTCTCTCACTGTTCAAATAAACCTACCATTAAAATTATAGACTGATCATTTCTTTGTCAGTGGGCAAACGTACAAAATCAGCAGGGGATCAAATACTTTTTTCCCTCACTGTACATACACACACACGTTCTTATCATAGCCTACTCCTTGCTGCATTCCCATACATAGTTATCGCTGTTCTCACAATATTCTGCAAGCCTCTCACTCCCCCTCCCTGTGTGGGGACATCTGTTTTTTGGTTTCAACGTTTGCACTTCTGCTTGCCTAATTACAAGACACAAATACTCTGTTGCTGGGCAAATATGCATCTTATATAAGCACATATGATTACTCTCTAAGCTCTAGTCTTCTAATAGTCATACATTATTAGCTTAACTGAGGGTGTGACATTTTAATCATATCTTACTCACACATTTCTTTATCATTGAAGTCTTAAAGTTATCCTACCACTAACAGACATTGTGAATTTGCAGACATCCACACTTTCTCATGCTTAATATCAGCATAACATAAGTGTTTCATACCTTTTTCTTATTCTTAAGTCTGTGCATTAGGAGTGTCGATAGGAGAATTAGGTCTATTTTCTTCATTTATGTCACAAAGGTGTGTCACATCTCTCGCTCAAGTAATGGGTTTTGGAAACAGGACTTGCTGGGGACAAATTACATTATCTGGCTATTATTCTGTGCAATATTAGCAACACAGACATCATTCAACCAGATAAACATATTTTGACAGCAGCCAAGGCAGATTCATTGTAATTTTGATACATCACTACCTAGGGTTACAGCTTGGACAAAAGAGCAAAAACACACAAAAATAAAACACTCCAAAATGACAATTATATAGTTGAAGTCGGAAGTTTACATACACTTAGGTTGGAGTTTCGGATATTTTTTTATAACCCAACCCTGATCTGTACTTCTCCACAACGTTTGTCCCTGACCTGTTTGGAGATCTCCTTGGTCTTCATGGTGCCACTTGCTTGGTGGTGCCCCTTGCTTAGTGATGTTGCAGACTCTGGGGCCTTTCAGAACAGGTGTATACAGTTGAAGTTGGAAGTTTACATACACTTAGGTTGGAGTCATTAAAACTTGTTTTTCAACTACTCCACAAATTTCTTGTTAACAAACTATAGTTTTGGCAAGTCGGTTAGGACATGTACTTTGCGCATGACACAAGTAATTTTTCCAACAATTGTTTACAGACAGATTATTTATATTATTATTCACTGTATCACAATTCCAGTCGGTCAGAAGTTTACATACACTAAGTTGACTGTGCCTTTAAACAGCTTGGAAAATTCCAGAAAATGATGTCATGGCTTTAGAAGCTTCTGATAGGCTAATTGACAGCATTTGAATCATTTGGAGGTGTATCTGTGGATGTATTTCAAGGCCTACCTTCAATCTCAGTGCCTCTTTGCTTGACATCATGGGAAAATCAAAAGAAATCAGCCAAGAAATGTAGACCTCCACAAGTCTGGTTCATCCTTGGGAGCAATTTCCAAATGCCTGAAGGTACCACGTTCATCTGTACAAACAATAGTTTTCAAGTATAAACACCTTGGGACCACGCAGCCATCATACCGCTCAGGAAGGAGACGCATTCTGTCTCCTAGAGATGAACGTACTTTGGTGCGAAAAGTGCAAATCAATCCCAGAACAACAGCAAAGGACCTTGTGAAGATGCTGGAGGAAACAGGTACAAAAGTATCTATATCCACAGTAAATCGAGTCCTATATCGACATAACCTGAAAGGCCGCTCAGCAAGGAAGAAGCCACTGCTCCAAAACTGCCATAAAAAAGCCAGACTACGGTTTGCAACTGCACATGGGGACAAAGATCGTACTTTTTGGAGAAATGTCCTCTGGTCTGGTGAAACAAAAATAGAACTGTTTGGCCATAATGACCATCGTTATGTTTGGAGGAAAAAGGGGAACGCTTGCAAGCCGAAGAACACCATCCCAACCGTGAAGCATGGGGGTGGCAGCATCATGCTGTGGGGGTGCTTTGCTGCAGGAGGGACTGGTGCACTTCACAAAATAGATGGCATCATGAGGAAGGAAAATTGTGGATATATTGAAGCAACATCTCAAGACATCAGTCAGGAAGTTAAAGCTTGGTCGCAAATGGGTCTTCCAAATGGACAATGACCCCAAGCATACTTCCAAAGTTGTTGCAAAATGGCTTAAGGACAACAAAGTCAAGGTATTGGAGTGGCCATCACAAAGCCCTGACCTCAAACCTATAGAAAATGTGTGGGCAGAACTGAAAAAGCGTGTGCGAGCAAGGAGGCCTACAAACCTGACTCAGTTACACCAGCTCTGTCAGGTGGAATGGGCCAAAATTCACCCAACTTGTGGAAGGCTACCCGACACGTTTGACCCAAATTAAACAATTTAAAGGCAATGCTACCAAATACTAATTGAGTGCATGTAAACTTCTGACCCACTGGGAATGTGATGAAATAAATAAAAGCTGAAATAAATAATTCTCTACTATTATTCTGTCATTTCACATTCTTAAAATAAAGTGGTGATCCTAACTGACCTAAAACAGGGAATTTTTACTAGGATTAAATATAAGGAATTGTGAAAAACTGAGTTTAAATGTATTTGGCTAAGGTGTATGTAAACTTCCGACTTCAACTGTATCTAAAAGGCTTACAGGACAAATCTTTTTAAATTCGCTTTTCTTTTTTACAAACACCAATGTAAAGGCAACAGAATTTCCATGTGCTTGCTTTTGATACATCCAGGTAAAACTGTTCCCCTGGTTGAACTTTTAAAAGTACTCTTTCAAAACACACTTTTAAAAGAGATGTGGATATAAGGAAGTTAGTTAAAGCTTTAATTAATCCAATAGATTTCAGCCACTTATTCATATAACCATCAAATATGTGAAATGGTTCAGGTATAAATGCCAGCTGACTGTGCGTATCCAAGTGTTGTATGCGAAGAACAACAGATTCCAGTCAAGTAAACTCAAAGACCAATAAGTTATTCAGAAATAAAACCCCATAAAAACTCCCTTAATGAGGTACATCAATGATTAAAAAGCACAATATATGAAAGAACAAGCATGAAATCTATTTGACAATGGAGTCTTTAGCGTGGATGACAGATAATGCCACAGAAGCAAAGGGCTCAAAACATATCATTAAATGTGTTGAAACTGAAATGCTGGGTTCATTGTCCCATCAGCCTATGCTTATGGTGATCTGGAGGCTTGCATTTGTTATGTTAAACTGGGTTAGAGGAGAATCTGCATGTTCAACAAACAGCAGTTCAACAACATTCAAACAAATGGAAGATACTGCCACTCAATTCAGTTCTAGGTGCACACTCAAGTAACAGAAACGGTTAGGTACATTACAAAAATACCACCCAGTATAAGTTAAATAATAAACAATGAGGTTAAGTACAGATTTTTTCAGAGATCAGCCTCTGAACTAGCCTGGTTGCCAGTCTCTGTTCAGCTATTACATTCCACTCCTTGTACGCCGTGTCATTTGCCAATTCGGCACACGACATGGCGTACAAGGAGTGGACTGTTACAGAGACTGGTACCCAGACTACCTCTAAACATCTCAAAGGCAATGCATCTTTCAGACTTTCAAGCTGAACAAACGTTTTCTACAAAAAAGTTTATTTTCCATCCTAAATCTAAACCTAAATCTGATGTTGACAAAATCTTGACAACCAGACCGGTTTAAAAATGCATACCCAAATCAAACCTAACTTCGGTCTCAGTTTAATTTTTGGGGCCATGATATGCAGCGGCTTTGTACAGGTGCAACAGACTTAGTGCAAAGTTAAAATAGTGTAGTAGAGCATGCAATGAACCTGCAGTGGTAACTGCACTGACGCCATTATCCCCTCAACATTACATGACATCAGTGAAACAATGCCTTGTGGCAAGAATTGATTAAAACAAAAAACAAAACAGGGTTCTCAACAAACAAACAGTTTACATGATACAAATGTAATTTTCTTCCATGGTGGAAAAATATTTCACAACCATCATCCAACAAAAAAGCACTGATTTGGCACTGAAGGTCTTTCTTCAAGGCATCAGAAACCCTAAAACTAGATTTACTAACAATATCCTTGCCACAGACACTGGACAGATCCATTTCAATAATGGAGGTATATAAGGAGTGGGAGGGTGGAGGTTTGAGAAAGTGGTTCAGTCCAGTGTTCTGAGAGGTGAGGGCCAGCCCCATTAAAGGTCGCCAGGTTTCTGGTTGCAGTTAGCACAAACACGGACGCGGTGGTCCCAGCCCCGCGAGGGGACCGGCAGACGCTCCGGGGAGCATTCGTCACACACACGCCTTGCCCGCAGGCGCGACAGTGGTGCTTGGACAGCTTGGCAGTGAAGTCACGAGGATATCCTGGTCAGGCACCCAGTAGGCAGGACGCGCAGCATCCTTCACCAGGCCTGAAGAGAGAGGAGACAGTGAAGAATAACTGTTAGAATATAATGGTTTAGCATTGCACTCCCAATAACATACACTACATTACTGAATGTATGTGGACACTTGCTCATCGAAATCATGGGCATTAATATGGAGTTGGTCCCCCCTTTGCTGCTATAACAGCCTCCACTATTCTGGAAAGGCGTTCCAATTAATCCCAAAGGTGTTCGATAGGGTTGAGGTCAGGGTTCTGTGCAGGCTAGTCAAGTTCTTCCACACCGATCTCGACAAACCATTTCTATATGGACCTCGCTTTGTGCACGGAGGCATTGTCATGCTGAAACAGGAAAGGGCCTTCCCCGAACTGTTGCCACAAAGTTGGGAGCACAGAATCATCTAGAATGTCATTGAATGTTGTAGCGTTAAGATTTCCCTTCACTGGAACTAAGGGGCCTAGCACAAACCATGAAACACATCCCCATACCATTATTCTCCTCCACCAAACTTTACAGTTGGCACTATGCATTCGGGTAGGTAGCGTTCTCCTGGCATCCGCCAAACCCAGATTCGTCCGTCGGACTGCCAGATGGTGAAGCGTGATTCATCACTCTAGAGAACGCATTTCCACTGCTCCAGAGTCCAATGGCGGCGAGCTTTACACCATTCCAGCCGACGCTTGTCATTGCGCATGGTGATCTTATGCCTTTCTGCCATTTCTTGGAAAAGTTATTGTGCTGACCTTGCTTCCAGAGGCAGTCTGGAACTCGGTAGTGAATGTTGCAACCGAGGACAGGCGATTTTTATGTGCTACGTGCTTTAGTATTCCCGTTTTGTGAGCTTGTCTGGCTTACCACTTCGCGGCTGAGCCATTGTTGCTCCTAGACGTTTCTACTTCACAATAACAGCACTTACAGTTGACCGGAGCAGCTCTAGCAGGGCAGACATTTTATGAACTGACTTGTTGGAAAGATGGCATCCTATGACGGTGCCACGTTGAAAGTCACTGAGCTCTTCAGTGAGGCCATTCTACTGCCAATGTTTGTCTATGGAGATTGCATGGCTGTGCACTCGATTTTATACCTGTCAGCAACGGGTGTGGCTGAAACAGCCGAATCCACTAATTTGAAGGGCGTCCACATACTTTTGTATATATAGCAGTGGAGGCTGCTGAGGGGAGGATGGCTCATAATAATGACCGGAATGGAGCAAATGGAATGGCATTCCACTACAGCTTTTACCACGAGCCCATCCTCCCCAATTAAAGTGCCACCAACATCCTGTGATATATAGTGTATGTTGAACAGTAAAAGTATCCTAATGCAGTATCTGAAAATACATGTAGAAATATTATTAGTATGCCACCAGATGGCAGCCTGTCCATGGGTTTACATTACTGCAGTCATTTTGCCCATTACACAATTCTATCTGGGTCTTTTATTACATAACATTCACCCAGTGGGATGTCAATGACAGTAACCACGATGCCCAGTGTGTTGGACACTGCTTCTCCAACCTTTCTAGCAAGGTTTCCACCTTCCTCATCTTCAACCTCTGCATCCAACATCTCTGTACAAAGCATACAACTGTTATCACTGTGTAGTATGGCTAAAAATAAACACATATGCAGACTAAGTATGGCTACAGTGTGGCTACAAACAGATGTACAGGCTAAGTATACTCTTACCACTGTGCAGCATGGCTAAAAACAAATACATACAGGCTGATTTTGGCTCTGTGGTGTTGGTACCTGTGTGTTTATCCCTCTGCTCATAACAGGCATCGCAGACTCTCACGGGGGCCAGACCCCAGCTTTTCTCTGGGACGGGCGTGGCTTTGGACGAGCAGGTGTCACAGAACCCCTCCCCACAAGCACGGCAGTGATGCTTGGTGTCGTTGTCTTGGAAGACCTCTTGGCACTTAAGGCATGTCTGAACATTACAGGGGGAAAACAAAAACAAGAGGCAGTTATTGGCCAGGGCCTCTAGGACGAGGGGTCGATCTGAGCCTTATCTTGTGACCTGCAAACATGTGCTGTGTAACATTGGCACCCAGCTGAACAGCAGTGAAGAGCAGTAAACAGGTCCCTGGACAGGAAAGTGTCGACTCTGCTGTTCCACATCTGATGGGTGGGGCAGGCCCTCTGTCACTCACCAGGAAGTATGACTTAGGATGATGTCACTTGTACATCGTATAGTCAGTGGCATGAGATGGAGAGAATGAAATAATTGAAGAAAAGGCAACAGAGGACTTACCCGCAACTGAGGCAGAGGCTGGAGCAGGTGAAGTACTCATCAGGGAAGAAGCAGTTGTGGGCTATAAGCTCATCAGAAATCTCCCCATTGAAGCGCACACTTAGGGCCTAGCCAGAGAGGAACAACCACAGATCAGAAATTACATTGATGTAGTCTGACTAGATTGTTCAAACAGTAAAAAATTTAAACTGTCACCTATTGAATAGCAATGTTTGTTTGTAACTTTGTATGTGCTTGATTCTCTACACCATAAGACCCCTTTAATTAATATCAAATGTTCAAGTAGATAGCAATGCTAAAACATTCCATTCTTGAACACACCCTGACACCCTTCTTTGACTGTCATGGTTTGCCTTATGTAAATGTAAGCCTGTTTGAAACCAGTTTACATTCAGCTGACAGTTGACTTAGCTATAATGTCTACTACCTGCAGGGCTTTGAAGATGACGACTGGGGAGCGGGTGGAGTTGTTGTCTAGCAGCTGCTCCAGGGTGTGCTGCAGGCCACCAAAGTCCGTTGGGGGGCTACAGGTACGTGTGCCACGGTACCGGATGGAGCTGAAAGCCTCTGGGAAACGGGCCAGCTTCATGAAGCGCTCAAGTAGAAGCCGATCCACAGACTCTGATGAGTTTCCTGTTAGAATGAGAGAGAATGAAGAAGGGATCAAATGGAACAGGATGAGAAGACAGACTTAACTTTGAGTTGGTATATAACCCTTCATAAAATGACATTTCACTTCAGATTACTTTGATCAGGAGTCTTCAACCTTTTATAGATCAATCAAAACTGAGATGGAAGGTGCCTCACGCAAACAATTATTTCTAAGAAAAATAAGTCAAATTCTACTCTAAAGAGGAGAAACATTAAAAATTGATAGAAAATCTATTTATACAGTTTAACAGCCACATACTTTGAAAGGAAAATGTCTATAGATTACTCAAACTGCTTGACTGGCCAATTAACTGCTCACACCATTTCAAAACAGCTCTGTTGGAATGACAATTACTAGTCTTAGCGTGTCAAAGAGTCAGCGGGGATTCTGCACCAGGTAATTATCAAATTACATGTAATATGATCTTCTGTAGCAACAGTCATGACAATATGGATGAATCTACTGTATCTCTAATGTTTCCACTCTGTCAAGGAAGGTGAAATAAAAACATTCAAAAGCAGCCTCTTCTGTGCCCCCACAAGTACAGCTCTCTTGACAAATTAGACTGGTGTTAACTTCCTTTTCTGATGAACCATGGTCACTCATTGTTTCTCAGAAGTCTAATCTGAACAGTGTTACACTAGCTGGAGTAGTTTGACTATAACGCCAAATATTCCCAATAGCAGATTGAATAAATATCAATCAACTAGTTTTATTGATAAAACACACATGACCTTAGTGTTAAATATTGTGTGTTATATAGGCTACCCCTACACAAACCCTTGAACATAGACAAGTTGATGCAAGTAGACTTAACAAGGTTGTATGGTGAGTGCTCCTATTGACCTTTAAAAAGGTTCAGGTCCACTATTTAACAGCTTTTAGACAACACAATGAATCATGTGAAAATAATGTCAATATGTGACATTTCAAATATAATTACGTTAACATTACAGCGAGGCAATGTGGTTGAATATGTTCTGGCTATTTAAGTCAACCTGCTCTTGACAATAAAATACACTATCTTTATGACTCGCTTCATGAACATTAAGGGTGCGTTCATAAATTCACTCTGGCTATCTACTCCGATTTCAGAGCACTCTCGTCTGACTGTGCAAGAGCGCAAAATAACTGATGAACGCTCAACACCCCTTGAATATGGCCGGTGTCAGTAAACCTCGGCGAAAAAGCGTAATTAACTTGTTGCCAGCAGAAGTTAGTCACCAATGCTCTGGATGACATGAAAACAGCATAACATTTTACTTTTTTTTTTCTTTCTTCATTTTAGTAATTTAGCAGACGCTCTTATCCAGAGCGACTTACAGTTAGTGAGTGCATACATTTTCATACCAGTTCTACTAGGGCAAGTAAAACGGTCAGAATGAGGTGGTCTCATTTGTTTCTGGAAGTAGCTTGCCAACGTTAGCCAGTTAGCTTGGATGCTTGACTGCCATTAGGGCAGAACGCTCGGATCAACCCTACTCCTCCGCCAGAGCGTCCAGTGTGCGCTGTGAACGCTCCGAGAGCAAAACGCTCTGAATTTACGAACGGACAATCTGACAACGCTCTGAATTTACTAACGCCCAGAGCGCACTCTGGCAATCCAGATTGAATTTACGAACACACCCTAAAAATCAACTTTTAGCTGCCAGAATTAGATATTTTACAATAAGGTCAGCAGAGTAAGGCTGAAAACTCAAATGTACGCAATAAAACAAGACAACTTCCCTGATACATAATCTGCAAACTCTCACCAATATTTTAAACCACAGTTGGAAGAACTAGCCAGCTGTTTAGCTAATTTACTTGCAAGAATCAAACATAAACCACTTCCCTTGTTAGCTACAGTAGCTGGCTAGCTCGAAAAGAAAACAACCTAGGTGACGTTAGCTAGCTGACAGCTGCCTTGCCTTGGTTTAGTTGTGCAAAATATAACAGTACATTAACTATCAAGCTAGTTAGCTGCATGTAGCTTGACATTTAAAGCAATAGTTCGTTTAAAATAACGTTATTCCGTCAATGTGACACAACCTAACTATAACGGGTTTCGTTGGACAAAATATGATGTTTAACGTTACACAAATACCAAGCACCCTGTCTGAAATAGATAGCTGGTTAGTTAGCTCTGTTATCCAAGCTAGTTAGCCAGTTTAGGTAAACTTGTCAATAATATCATAGCCAAACGCTAAGATAACAGCGGTTCCGTCAACAATAAAATAAAACATACGAAGAAAAATGGCACAATACGTTTCAGAAGTCTTTAGAATATGTTATTACGTTGAAATCCTTCGTAACTTTCTGCTCATCAGCCGCACCCTCCCTGGTGGATTTCTGTGTGCTATGTTGTTGCATGTTCAAATCAGCTGATCAGATTATTTTGAGGCAAGGGTCAGGGGAGGGCATAAGGAGCATGCTGGGAAATGAAGTTGTTTTGAATGAAACAATTAAGCGTTGTAGTCACAAATCTATAAAATGTGTCTTTGATATTATTTGTACTTCTACATAAACAAAAGCTAAAGAACATACTCACATCCAGGTACTTCCCGCAGGTGCAGGAGTTGTAGGCAAACTCATGGAAAACAGGGAGGCCTAGAGGCCCTCAAGTTCTACCTCAATTAGCTCAGTGGACACCTAATGCTCTTCCCAGCACCATTTGTATTGTGAACTTTGCTGAACTGGTACTGAACTCCAACTATTTTCTCTTCAGAGGATATTTTTTCTTCCAGAGCAAAGGGACAGCAATGGGGAGCACTATAGCTCCTAATTACGCTAACCTACAATGCATTCTGAAAGGATTCAGACCCCTAGACTTTTTCCACATTTTGTTACGTTACAGCCTTATTCTAAAATGGATTAAATTGTTTTTTCCCCCTCATCAATCTACACACAATACCCCATTATGACAAAGCAAAAACTGTAAAAAAAAAACAAACAACGGAAATATGACATTTACATAAGTATTCGGACTCTTTACTCAGTACTTTGTTAAAGCACATTTGGCAGCGATTACAGCCTCGAGTCTTCTTGGGTATAATAATAATAATAATAATAATAATATGCCATTTAGCAGATGCTTTTATCCAAAGCGACTTACAGTCGTGCGTGCATACATTTTTGTGTATGGGTGGTCCCGGGGATCAAATCAAATCAAATCAAATTTTATTGGTCACATGCGCCGAATACAACAGGTGCAGACATTGCAGTGAAATGCTTACTTACAGCCCTTAACCAACAGTGCATTTATTTTAAACAAAAAAAGTAAGAATAAAACAACAACAAAAAAAGTGTTGAGAAAAAAAGAGCAGAAGTAAAATAAAGTGACAGTAGGGAGGCTATATATACAGTAAAATAAAGTGACAGTAGGGAGGCTATATATACAGGGGGGTACCGTTGCAGAGTCAATGGGCACCGGCTAGTTGAGGTAGTTGAGGTAATATGTACATGTGGGTAAAGTTAAAGTGACTATGCATAAATACTTAACAGAGTAGCAGCAGCGTAAAAAGGATGGGGTGGGGGGGCAGTGCAAATAGTCCGGGTAGCCATGATTAGCTGTTCAGGAGTCTTATGGCTTGGGGGTAGAAGCTGTTGAGAAGTCTTTTGGACCTAGACTTGGCACTCCGGTCGAACCCACTACCTTGGCGTTACAAGCGCCGTGCTCTACCAGCTGAGCTACAGAGGACCACAGTATGACGCTACAAGCTTGGCACACCTGTATTTAGGAAGTTTCTCTCATTCTTCTCTGCAGATTCTCTCAAGCTTTCAGTTTGGATGGGGAGCGTCGCTGCACAGCTATTTTCAGGTCTCTCCAGAGATGTTCGATCGGGTTCAAGTCCAGGCTCTGGCAGGGCCACTCAAGGACATTCAGAGACTTGTTCCGAAGCCACTCCTGCATTGTCTTGGCTGTGTGCTTAGGGTCGTTGTCCTGTTGGATGGTGAACCTTTGCCCCAGTCTGAGGTCCTGAGCACTCTGGAGCAGGTTTTCATCAAGGATCTCTCTGTACTTTGCTCCGTTCATCTTTACCTTGGTCCTGACTAGTCTCCCAGTCCCTGCCGCTGAAAAACATCCCTACAGCATGATGCTGCCACCACCATGCTTCACAGTAGGGATGGTGCCTGGTTTCCTCCAGACTTGACACTTGGCATTCAGGCCAAAGAGTTCAATCTTGGTTTCATCAGACCAGAGAATCTTGTTTCTCATGGTTTGAGAGTCCTTTAGGTGCCTTTTGGCAAACTCCAAGCGGGCTATCATGTGCCTTTTATTGAGGAGTGGCTTCCGTCGGGCCACTCTACCATAAAGGCCTGATTGGTGGAGTGCTGCTGAGATGGTTGTCCTTCTGCAAGGTTCTCCCATCTCCACAGAGGAACTCTGGAGCTCTGTCAGAGTGACCATCGGGTTCTTGGTCACCTCCCTGACCAAGGCCCTTTTCCCCCGAGTCTTGGTGGTTCCAAACTTCTTCCATTTAAGAATGATGGAGGTCACTGTGTTCCTGGGGACCTTCAATGCTACAGAAATGTTTTGGTACCCTTCCCCAGATCTGTCACTCGACACAATCCTGTCTCAGATCTCTACGGACTATTCCTTCGACCTCATGGCTTGATTTTTGCTCTGACATGCACTGTCAACTGTGGGACCTTATATAGACAGGTGTGTGCCTTTCCAAATCATGTCCAATCAATTGAATTTACCACAGGTGGACTCCAATCAAGTTGTAGAAACCTCTCAATGATGATCAATGGAAACAGGATGCACCTGAGCTCAATTTCGAGTCTCATAGCAAGAGGTCTGAATACTTATGTAAATAAGGTATTTTTGTTTTTTATTTTTTATACATTTCTAAAAACCTGTTTTTGCTTTGTCATTATAGGGTATTGTGTGTAGATTGATGAGGGGAAACAATTATTTAATCCATTTTAGAATAAAGGCTGTAACTTAACAAAATGTGTAAAAAGGGAAGGGGTCTGAATACTTTCCGAATTCACTGTATATCTAGGAATGTTTGAAAAACAGGTGGTGCTGAATCCAGACTTTAACCTGTTCTCTCCAATATTCTGAGATATTTGGATGACATTTTTGTGATCTATACAGGGATCCAGGAAGAACTCTTGGAATTCCATGCCTATCTAAACTCTATGAATGAGCACCTTCGTTTCACCATTAGCTATGACCTGTCGCAAATCAGTTTTCTTGATGTGATGGTTATTAAGCACAAAACCTCCCGCTCTACAGATCTATATAAGAAACCTACCGACAGGTACACCCTCCTTAGACGTGACAGCTTTCATCCACATCCACTTATTAAAAGTCTCCCTGTAAGTCAATTCAGTAGCATCAGAAGAATATGCAGCTCTGATGCTTCTTACCAGAAACAGACCATGGACCTCACAAAAAGGTTTAAGGAAAGGGTGTACAAAGACAATTGGGTAAACCATGCCAATGATCGTTTTGAAGGGCTAACACAGTTGGAAAGACTTCAACCAAAAGTGAAAGAAAAAGCAGAACATGTCCCCTCATGCGTCACCCAATACTCACCATTGGGGAAGCCATTTAAGGACATTATCAGGAAGCACTGGTACATTATTGATACTGACAAACAATTAACACCCAT